AAAAAAAAAAAGAAAGAAAAAACAGAAGATTTATTGACTCATGTACCTAAAGACCAGGTTTTATCCAGAGTTGAAACAGCATAACTAACATGCTTCTAGGTTCAAGTCTAGAAGGGAAGACTATGTAACTCTCTACCAGAAGTCCCAACAAAAATATCATTGCATCTGATTTCCCTATGAATAGGTCATATTCTCATCTGTGAATCAATTCCTGCTCAGTTGGTTTAAATCTAAATCAGGCGGTTGAGAACAACTCCACCAGGAGCACACCAGCTAAGTGTGGAGAAAGGGATGGTCCTCCAGAGGGGAATCAGGATGGGATCACCAGGGAAAGGATAGATGGTTATGGGCATCAAAAATACCAGATCCCCATGCAGATGTGTAATTACCTAAACATCTGTATTGCTTAGAATTATGAACAAGCCTCTTGGACATTCAGCCATTTCAAAAAATAGTATATGATCAGCTGGTAGAGTAGGAAGAAGTTCAAACCGCACTGAAGGCACTGACAAAAAATAAGGCTCCAGGAATTGAAGGAGTATCAGTTGAAAAATAAACAATGCAACACTGGAAGCACTCACTCATCAATGCTAAGAAATTTAGATGATAGCTACTTGGCCAACCAACTGGAAGAGATCTACATACCTGCTTATTCCAAAGTAAGGAGATCAAATAGGACTTGAAAATTATCAAACAATACTGTTAACATCACATGCTGGCAAAATCTTGGTGAAAATATTTCAAAAACAGCTGCAGCAGTACATCAACAGGAAATTGCCAGCATTTCAAGCTGGATTAAGAAGAGGATGTGGAACAAGGAATATTATTGCTGATGTCAGATATATCTTGGCCAAAAGCAACAAATACCATAAAGATGTTTACCTGTGTTTTATTGACCACAAAAAGACATTCAACTCTGTGGATCATAACATTATGGATAACAATTTGAAGAATGGAATTCTAGAACACTTAATTGTGCTCATGTGGAACCTATGCATAGATCAAAAGGCAGTTGTTAGAAGAGAACAAAGAGATACTGCATGGTTTAAGACTGGAAAAGGTGCGCAGCAGAGTTGTATCCTTTCACCTTACTTGTCATTCTAAAGCTGAGCAAATAATCTAAGAAGCTAAACTATAAAGAAGAATGCAACATTAGGATCAGAGGATGATGCATTAACAACTTACAATATGCAGATGACACACAACCTTGCTTCCCTAAAATGAAGACTACTTGAAGCCTGGCAGTTCAAACCTACCAGCCACTCCGTGGAAGGATAGTTGGGCAATCTACTTCCATAGTGATACTGCCTGGGAAACCCAAGGAGGAGTCACCATGAGTTGGATGCAACTCGACGGCAGTAAGTTTGGTTTTTGAAGCCCTTACTGATTGTTTGGGAGCTCTGGTAGCATAGTGCCTAAGGCACTTGATTGCTAACCACAAGGCTGGCGGTTCAAATCCACCAGCCACTCCTTGGAAGGAAGGTTGGACAATCTGCTTCCGTAATGATACTGCCTTGGCAACCCAAGGAGGGGTCGCTATGAGTCGGGTCTGACTCAATGGCACATAACAACAACAACAACTGATTGTTTTGGTTACCTAGTGCTTCTCTAACAAGAATATACCACAAGTGGGATGCTTGAACAAACAGGAATTTATTCTCTAACAGTTTAGAGGCTTTAAGTCCAAGTTCAAAGTACCAGGCCCTAGGGGCTGTGTGAAATCCCCTCAACCTCGTGCTTCAGCTCTACCTCTAGCTCCCGGCCCACTGGAGCTAGAGGCTTTTCTTCACTCAGACAGCTGCTGGCTGCTGAGACTGACAAGCCCAAGGTTGACAAGTAAAAAGGCTCAGTCCTGATGTTACCAAACCACGTGGCAGGCCACTCATTCAAGTCCATTGAAAGTCCCAAGATCAGCAGAGCGTGGCGGGCTGCTGAACAACGACACAACTACATGCAGGTTTCAAGCGTGCCATAAGCTGGAGACCATTCCCCAAGGCTTCCCATAAGCTAGAGACTGTTCCCCAAGGCATCTCCTTATATACAGGAAGCAGACTACATTCCTAAGGCAGCTACTCAGCTGCTCACAGTAGATTCCCCCATGGAGCTGATCATGGGGCATACTACATCCAGCTGCCCAGCCACTCAACCACGCCCAGCCAAGTTGATACACAAACTTCACCACACTGATGAAGGTAAAAAGACAGCCGTCTTTGGTATAGGTTACATTTGAAAATGAAGAAAACGAAAATCCTCACAATTGGACCCATAAACAACATCATGATAAATGGTGATGAAACTGAAGTTGTCAGGCATTTCATTCTAATTGAATCGATAGTCAACTCCCATGGAAGCAGCTGTCAAGAAATCATAATGATGTATTGCACTGAGCAAATATGCAGTAAAAGACCTTTAAAAATCCTTAAAAAAAAAAACTAAGATGTCACTTTGAGAACTAAAGTGTGCTTGACCTAAGTTACAGTCTTTTCAGTTACATCATATACATGCAAAAGCCACACAATGAAAAAGGAAGACCAAAGAAGAATTGACACATTTGAATTGTGGTGTTGGCAAAAAATATTGAATATACCATGTTCTGCTAAAGGACAAACAAACCTGGCTTGGAAGAAATCCAGCCAGGATACTCCTTAGAAGAAGCAAGGATGGTGAGACTTCATCTCATGTACTCTGGACATGTTATAAGAAAGTACTAGTCCCTGGAGAAGGACATCCTGCTTGATAAAGTAGAGAATCAACAAAGTCTGACACAGTGACTAAAAATTGGCTCAAAATGACTGTGAGAATGGCATAGGACCAGATAATGTTTCATTCTGTTGTATCTAACAACTAACACAATTCTAAATAATAAAATAAGACCAGGCTTACTGGTCTGATAGAAAGTGGAGTAACCCCTGAGACTATGACCCTTAGATATCCTCCAGGCCTGGAACTGAACTCACCCTGTGACTCAACTTTGAGCCAAACAATAGAAAGCCTATAAGGTGAAGTATGCACTCATTAAAACAATCAACAATACAATATCAAAAGGGCAGCATTTGCCCAGGGATAAAGCTTAGAATGTAGGAAGGGATAAGAAAGAAGGACAAATAGGAAAAATAAACACAAGGAGGAAGTGGGAAGAGTGCTGTTGCATTGTGGGGATTGCAATCAGTGTCACAACATATGTTTATGTTGTAGATTGTCTCTTCACTTCGTTGATAAAATCTTTTGATGAACAAAAAATATTTAATTTTTATGAGATCCCAGTTATCTACATTGTCTGTTGCTATTTGTGATTTTGTTGCCATATCTGATAATCCATTATGGAATACTAAGTCCTGCAGCCATGCCCCTGGTTTCTTCTAAGAACTATATGGTTTTAGTTTTCACATTTAGGTCTTTAATCCATTTTGAATTAACTTTTATGTATGGTGTGAAGCATGGATCCTGTCTCATTCTTCTGCATGTAGAAATCTAATTTTCCCAGCATCATTTATTGAAGACTCTTCTTTCCTCCTTTGAATGGACTTAGCATTCTTGTCAAACTTGCTTTGTTTTTAGATCACACGGAGGACTCTCTATCCCAAGATCAACCGGCGTTGGTTTGTAACTTTGTCTCAGGCTCAGAAAATGGCATGAGTAAAGACTGTCCTGGTCAGTAAACCTGTGATATGTGTTATCACATAGACTTAACTAGGGTCTATGATTTGTAATATTTAAATTTAAATCTTCAATATTAAAATTCAGTGTTTAATTTAGTGATATGTCTTTAAACAGGAACTCACAGAGAGCCAATTCAAAGGAACCCACATTATCTACAAATAAATGAGATACTGTTAATCAGCGATCAAGAACTTCTTCCATGCCATATAATGGATCAGCATTGGAAGTTCTATGCAGAATGTGAGGAACTAACCTTCTAAAGCCCTGTTTTCTTAATAATGTATTAGGAATTTTTTCGTGTAAGTAGCTAACATTTCATTTCTGATCTTATGTGGTCTGGTGTGCCTATTTTAACACACAGGGTTGATGGGTTGCTACTTAGGATGTATGTTTACTGTTGTAAGAAAAAATATAACTCTTCAAATTATTGTAGTAAGATTCATACCTTTTTGCTGTTGAAATAAAATCATTTTTGAACCAAATTGACTCTCAGGCTTTCTTTTTGCTAACATACACTTAAAACTAACTTTCCAGTCGACATCTTTACTGTATAAATAACAGTTAATTCTTATGAAAATGATGTTTAAATAAGAGTGATCCATGGATAACTGGTCTTGAAAAAGCCCAGATAAGAAGAATCTACTTTGAACAATAATTTAGAGTCCCAATACCTCCCCCTAATTTATTTCAACATGTGTCTTGAAATAAAAATGTGAAATTATGAAAGAGGTCCATTTTAAGTTTCAAAAATTTAGTTTATATAGAATTATACTAAGTCTTAGAACAAAGAATGAATCAAGTGTTATTTAGGGGCTAATTATTTTAAATAGAATATACTTCATCTTTGACATTTGCTACATTGTCATAAAGAGGATTTTTTTTTAAGAAAGACATATATTCAAGAATATTATCAATTTTCCCAAGGGTTTCTCAGAATTCTTTGATAGTCAAACTATTCTCTAATTACCCATCACCCTAAATCCATTGTCATCAGGTCCATTCTGACTCACAGTGACCCTACAGGACAGAGTAGAGATGCTCTATAGGACTGACAAGGCTGTCATCTTTACAGAAGCAGACTGTCATATCTTTCTCCCTAGGAGTGGCTAGTAGATTCGAACTGACAACCTTTTTGGTTAGCAGCCAAGAGCTTAACCACAGTGCCACCAGGGCTCCTTTCCATCACCCCAAACCAAAAAAAAACTCACTGCCATAGAGTCAAACCCTTCTTGGGTTTCCAAGGCAGTATCTCTACAAAAGCAGCCTGCCCGATCTTCCTTCCAAGAAGTGGCTGGTGGGTTTGAACCGCCAGCCTTCTGGTTAGCAGTCAAATGCCTTAGGCACTATGCCACCAGAGCTCCTCTCTATCACCCCAGGCTCCAAAATAAGTCTTTTTTTGACTCTGTGGCCTAATTCTATTCCTTTCCTCTCATTTGGGTAGAATGGTAAAATTGCAATAAAAATTACTCTAGCAAATGTTAGAATATTTGTGGGGCTTGGGGATATGGTATGGCATTTTTAATGTTTAAAATAGAACCTTAAGTACTTTTATAATATATAAGAAACTGGTTAATAATTGCCTCTGGGGAGAGAAATTATGGGGCTGGAGTGCCAAGGCTTTGGGTGCAAATTTACAGAGCAATATTTGTTTTACATTCAACAGTTTGTGTACATTTGATTTCACGCCCTGATTACCATCCCCAACCATAAAAAAATAAGGAACACTTCACAAATTTGCTTGTCATCCTTGTGCAGGGGCCATGCTAGTCTTCTCTGTATCATTCCAATTTTATGCCCAAGTGAGCACAAAATGTAGACTTATTTTTGACTACATATATTTGGCAACTTTTTAAATTGGTAGTATACGCATAATCTATTTATTCAGAAAAATAACTTTTAAGTATCTGAAAAGAAAGCACTTTGAAATGTTTGCCGATTAATCAAAGTGTAAAGACATTAAATTGTTTTATTTTCCTACATTTGAGAGGACAATGGAAGTATTCAAAATAGAATGACCCTACATGTGGTAATGTTTGTCAGCTGGCAAGAATTTTATAGTTACCAATTTTCTTAGATTACTCTGTTTTTCTAATTCTAAAATAGCCTAGATGAGGTGGCATATTTGGCTTTATTATTTAACAAAATATTTAGAATATGGATCATTTAGGAATATATCTACTAACATGGGAAAATATATATGTGAAAATATGTAAATTTCTGGACGATGTTTAGTGCACATCCTGGTTTTGTTAAATAAGTAAAAATTATGTACCTTTGCATGCATAATACATACAGCATATAAATATACATATATTATGTAAGTTGTATATGCTTTTATATTTTTAGCTATGAAAATTTATGTGTGTGAAGTGGGGGGTTATTTAGTGAAAGGTCTGAAATGTTATAAATACAACTGTTTACAATGCCTGTCCCTTCAAGGAGTTGAACTGGGAAGAATGGAAGGGTACTTTTTGCAGTTTACTTTTCAACTTGAAAAAAAAAAATGCATACTTCTTTTGTAATTAAAGATTTTTAAAAGAATAGTTTTAAAAAGCAGATCTTTTGTTTAGTGGTTACAATTTACAAAAGTTAGACAGCCTAAGTTTATAGTAAAAGAGATCCTACAATTCTAAGTCTTCATTTTAATGATGAAATTCTTACATTTAATTTGTAAAGCCCATCTACTATGTTTTATATACTAATTGGGTATGTGACAGTGCCCTTGAGGTGTGTTATATATCCTGTTGCCCAAACTGGAGATCAAAAGGGTCTTCTCCAACCAGGTCTGGGGTCCAGAGAGCTACCTTATCCTGTATGATCCCCAAGAAAAGACTGGGTAATTTGGGATGTTTACTAGATGTTTTGCCTGTTCTGGATTCTAAATGAAACCCTCAGGCTCCAACAATGGCATTATTATTTCCATCTTTCTTCCAGCTTCCTTCACAGTGCCAAGATGGCTCTGCTGTTGGAGACAGGTATGTGTACAGAAACAGCATCATTGGAAGAAAAGAACCTTTTTCTTCCAGTGCATTTCTTTTGGGAAGAAATCTTCCCTAGAAGCCCTCTAACACCAGAAGCTTATATCCTCTCAGCCAGTATTGTATCACATATCCAGTCCCTCGTTAGGAATGTGGGGTTACCTTGATTGGCTGAGAAGTACTTCCTGTGTGCAAGAGTGTAGTCAGCTATATAAATGGCAGACTCTGCAAGCTAAAAAAAAAAAAAAGAGAAGATGGGAGGGATTAGAATAAGAGCTGATATTTATTGAGCATTTAATCTATACCATTCATTGTTATAAGCAATTTCAATGTATTAAAGTCATTTAATCTTCACCATACCCTTTGAAATAGGAAATACTATCACATTTTACAGATGAGTAAATTGAGGATTGTTTTGGTTACTTTGTGCTGCTGTAACAGAAAATACCACAGATGGGATGGCTTTAACAAACAGGAGTTAATTCTCTTAGAGTTTTGGAGGCTAGAAGTCCGAGTTCAGAGTGCCAGGCTCGAGGGGCTGGGCAAAAGGCCCTCAGCCTTGGGCTTCAGCTCTGCCTCTTACTTCTGGCCCACTGAAGTTGGAGGCTTTCTTTCCTCAGGTAGCTGCTGGCTGCTGAGGGTGACAAACCCAAGGTCAACAAGTAAAAAGGAACAGTCCCGATGTTACCAAACCACACGGCAGGCCATTGATTTAAGTCCATCAAGAGTCCCAAGATCAGCAGACAGCATGACAGACTGCTGAACAAGGATTCTGCAACATGCAAGGTTTGAGCATGCCAAAAGCTAGAGACCATTCTCAAAGCTTCTTATATACAGGAAGCAGCCCACATCCCTAAAGCAGCTACTCAGCTGCGCATAGCAGATTCCACCATGGAGCTGATTGCCAGTCACAGCATGGGGAATAACTACCACCAGCTGCCCAGCCACTCAACCAGGCCTGGCCAGTCTAGGCATATAACCAAGCTGACATATAACCTTAACTACCACAAGGATACGGAGGGAGGATGTAACTTGGCACAGAGTCCACACAAGTGGAGCCAGGCTTCAAAGCTAGCACTCTGGCTCCAGACCTCATGCTGTTAGGTACAATGTATTTCCTCTTAACCAAAAATATCTGCCCTAAAATATATGTTAAACTATTAAGACCATGCCGGCAATCTGAAGGATTTTCTATTGCTATCAAGTCAATTCCAACTCATAGTGAACCTAGAGGACAGAGTAGAACTACCCCATGGCATTTCCAAAGCTGTAATCTTTACTGAAGCAGTCTGCCACATCTTTTCCCCAGGGAGTGTCTGGTGAGTTCAAACAGCTGACATTTTGTTTACCAGCTGAGCGCTTTAACCACTGCACCACAAAGGGTCCTTGAGTGATGGTGACCTTATTGATTTCTTCCTACATCCTCTGAAGAACTCAGTGTTTGCTGACTTTGGTGAATAATGACAGCAGTCAGGACAGATAGAGATACTCATTGGTAGAAAATGAAATGCAAAAATCTTGCTGGATACGTTCCAGTGTGAACACATTGGTATCTGCTCTTGAGGCTTTCTGCTTTTCAATCTAGGGAGCTCCAGGCATTAAAAAAAAAAAAAAAAACACTGCCCAAACTCAGTTTGCAAAGGGAACTACCTTGTTGTTTCTAAATGAATGAATGTGCCTACAGGACCTTCATTTGAAGTTCATTTGGATTTTCAGTGCCACCAGGGCTAATAGCACAAAACTTCCACATGTGCTTCTTTGGACTCTTCTCCCTTCTACTTCTCATTGTGTCACAATCTATTTTACAGAAGAAAATCAGGGATAAATCTTTCTTAAGTGTATAAAACCAAGAAGTGTGGTATATTTCTGCTTGAACTTGATCATAATGTGCTCATATCCTTAATTATTTATAACCTAAGCAACAGGAACAAAATTTGAGTTTGAGACCATGTCAAATCAATTTACCTCAGTTGAACTTATTTAAGTAGATGTTGAATGGTTAACCTCCAGATTCCTGGGATACATTTGTAAGTTATATTTTTCATTTAGGCTACTTTGCCAGGGCCTCTAAAGTAGGAACAGTAGCTGCAAATATTTGAAGCTATAATATAATTACTGGTATTGCTAAAGGTAAAAGCAGTTAACGTGTTTTTAACTGTTCACAAGACACAGTATATATATATATATATATATACACATATACATATATATATATATATAGCAGTTTGGCTGAGCTATGAAGCTAGGTCATGTCTTTCTAAGCTGGAGGCAAGGAAATGGTG